AGCCACTGGTGCTGGGTCTATTTTGCAGTCGAGGATCCCCCCAAGAAGGGGGCACCCTGATGCCAGTGCAAGGGTGGGCGAGGCTAAGAGACAGGCCAGTCTAGGTACAAGCTGCTGCAGGGGGTCCCGGTGGGTCAGGGTCGATGAGAATTGGGCCACGGTCTCCCTTTTTCTATGAAAGACAAAGGTGGCGACAACAGAGGCACCTCCATAGTCCCCGTCCCCTGACCTTGTGGAAGCCCCTTCGAGAGATGGGCTTGGCCAGGTAAAGACCACGTAGAGTCCGAGTAGGAAACAGATCCGGGAATATTTCTGCCCAGGTTCCCAGCCGTGGCGGAGAGCTTTCCGACTGCGGGCAGACGCTAAATGCAGCTTCGGGGGCAGCATCCAACACAAGGGGCCTGATCCCGTTCCCACCGGAACGGGCTCGGTAGGGAACAGAATTGGATCCAGAATCCAGTGGGTCCCATCGGGTGCCTGCGGCAACCCCGCCAGTCATGACGATGAGACTAACCTTCCTCGTCCGCTATCTAAGTGTGTCGTTTTAATCTGATGGAGACCTTGACTGCCGGGCACATCTGCCCAGCGCAGCTTTTCAGTACAGAGCAGCCTTTCATTTACTCATTTGCTCAACCACTTCTCCTGAGGGCTGCCACCAATACTGATTGTTGTTTTAACAAACACACGCTCTTAAACACTATATGAAAATACTTTTGTAATAAATTGAAAAAGTTGTGGGTGAATATAAGAAAGCTCCAAAGAAAGTGTTTATTCGGAATGGTCTCTTGGGCTAAAGGAACAGGATTTTAGGTACGCTTTAACGTGACGCTTGTAAAACTGCTTTAATAGAAACACTGGCAAGTGTCCATACAAGTAGTTTTCTTTCAGAAGGAAGGAGAACCCCACATAATACCTTTAAACATTTTAATAAGTTAAAATTAAATGAGTGAAACCCTGGGAAATTTTTTTTTTTGTTACTGCAAGCTAGGAAAATGATGTGCACTAAGCAAAACTTAATACAAATATAAACAGGTAATGCACATCTGTAAATTATTTTCATGTCTCCAGGGGCTGGAAAAAAAAAAAAACCTAAGTGAGACCAGCCTTCTTATATATATTTTGCCTTGACAGCTCAGGAAAAAATTTGCCAAAACCAGAGTTAGAGCACTGGGCTGGCGTGGGAAAGTTGGTTTAGTGAGAAATCTGCCTCAGGCTATTTAAATAAAAACAGGCTTTTTTATGGCAAATGCCTGTTAAATACAACCAGCAGAGCTACCAACCGCATGAGCAACGGGCATGTCTGTTTCTTCATGTCACTTCCATCTCTTTATCATCCCAATCCATATTTGGCTCTTATATATACACAGGTCAAAAAAAAAAAAAGTAGGAATGAAAAGACAGACATCAAACTGGG